GCTTTGCACATACCACTGCCATTATCAATAACAAGTGCTGCTACATCGTCGTCACACATGATAGAAACTTATCGAATGAAATTTAAGACGAAAGTAAATGTCTATATATGTTGTTGTCTACTCTTGTTTCTTTCGAACGATGAATGACGCGGACGTTCTTCTAGCTCTTCACTTCTCTTTTTTTTTTATTCTCTCTCACACTTTCTTTCTTTCTCGTGCATTTCAACCATTCCATCATGGTATGTTTTGACCGACGATTACCATATAAGGACATGTCAGGGTCGACGAAAAACAGAGTGAAGAGAGGAAGCAAGTGAAAAGAAAAAAAAAAGATGGTCATTGTTCTAATTCAATGGTAGTGCACTGTGATTAACGAAAATATGAAGAAGAACAGGAAGACGAAAGTTTGCATTTCGGTCAAGTCATATTAGTTGTATACGGCTAGTACAAAATACGATCGTATAAAAAAAAAGAATTAGATGAAGAAGACAAACAGAGCATTACCATCGCATTGTTGACCGATAAAAGGTTAATAGAGCGAAAAAAAAAGAAACAAACATTTCAAAAGTGATTGTTTTGATATTTAATTGATATTATCGAGGCTGTTTTTTCTTTCCAATTGTTTTGAATGTTTTTTTCTCCCGAGACATGGTAAATAGTATGTCATATTTAAATTGTTCAGACATATGGCCTCTTTTTTCTTATGAGTTGATCCAAATTATACATTTGTTAAGAAGAGGATGATTCACTAGACTAAAGTCATCGAAGTGACATTTTTATTTCCAAGTGATAACAATAAACATCTCGTGAAAAGCTATTCGCTAATTATTTAGATTATAAAAAAAAAGTCAACAGTATTTTATGATCAACCGGCAATAAAGCTCATTTAACAAACTGCTATGATCATCATGAAACGATTTTTTTTAACGGAAACAATTAAATTTTTTCAACAAGTTAGTTTACCCTGACAAAAGTAATTATCACTTTTTACGATTATGGTATTATAATTACAAAGTTTATTTCATCTTAACATGTAGTCTAAAATATCAAAAGAAATTGGAATGACTGTAATAGTTGATCGATTTTTGATTTCGTTACTGTATAAACTTTTATAAAAGATCTGAGAATACATATATATTAAAAAAAACGAAAAAATCGAAACAAAGAAATGTCAAAATAATTATTATTTCCGTTCGTTCCAAACAGCTCGTTCTTCATCTGTTTGTGCAACGGAAGATGGAAGTTCACCATCATTATCTGGAATTGACGGATCAGCACCAAGTGCAAGTAAAAGCTTCATACAAGGAATATTACTTGAATGAGCAGCTAGAATAGAACGATATAAATAATTAATTATCAATAGTATTTTTCTTATACCATAAAATAATGGAGTTTGTCCATCTTCATCACGAACATTAAGATCTGCCCCATATTTGACTAAGAGATGTATCATTGATTCATTGCCTCTATCAGCTGCCCAATGTAATAGAGTTAATTGCTAAATATAAGATTTTATGATAGTATAAAGAATCTTTGACATATGCTATTTTACTGTATCATCTGGTTTATTAACATCGAAATTTTTTTTGAGCATTTGTTCAACACATTGTTCATTACCATCTTGACAAAATTCATAAATTGTTTTTTCATCATCATTAGGCATTTGTGCATCATTTTGTACTAATAATCGACTAACACTTGGCCCAGTTTTGGCTGATTTCTAATGAAAAATATTTAATCATTCAAATCATGATTATTTATTTACTTGATTTTCAATATCGTTGTTTTCTTTAATATCAGTTACTCGTTGAATATATTCTTTTGATGCTTGAGATTTTGTCATAGATTTAAGAGAATTCCATGCATCCCTGTATTTCAATTAAATTAAAAAAAATTTAATATTTTCTCAATAAAACTAAATTTACCATTTGGTTTTTGCTTCGAAACTAAAATAACCTGGTCGAGGAATGTTTGTATCACCAATAGTAAACTTAAAATGGATTTGATATCAATTAAATATATATATTTTTTTAAAATTACTTGTTTAAATCGAGCATATAAATAAAGTAAATCATCACGAGAAAATAATTGAAGATTATTTTGAACAAATAGTGCAGCTTCTTGAAATTCATCATCATCTCCAAGAACTGATTCAAGACCATCCTCATCATCATTAGTTGTCGTCATTTTTTTCGTATCTGAAAATAAGTTTCTTCTTTATTTAATTGCTTTTTTTTATTTCGGAAAGAAAAAGATTAAAATATTCTATGATTTTATAAGAAATTCAAGCATTTTTTGATTTTGTTTCATATCAGTTGCTTTTTGTTGTTTCAATTCTTCTAATGGATCATCTAACCCATCATCAAAATCAGTTGGTTGCCGAGTCCATGAATTATCATATTCAAGTCTGTATGCACCTAAAAATCGATGTGGACATACACCATTTTTTATATTCGATATCCAATCTTGTGGATGCATTATTGACATATATTTTTGTCCAGTTTGTCTTTCATATTGATAATAGATTTGTCCAGCTTTTCGAACAAGATTACAAGCACAATGATTTAATTCATCATCACGTCGTGCTTTCATTAAAGTACGTTGTGCTTCTTGACGTAAATAATGCATTTGATTAACAAGAACTTGTAAACGATTTGAAACATTTGCACGTACAAATGCATCACATGTTTCAATTTGTTTAGCTAAATTTACAAGATCTTGTGGATCAGAAACTCTGTCATTTCGTGTATTCACTATTGCATGACCAAATGGTCGCTTATCACTTTCAACTAATTCAACACATGTTTCTGTTGATGATGTTAAAGATGGTACACCATTAGCTAAAACAAGATCACGAATAATTGGTTCTGAATCCATAATTTAGGCGAAGAGATTCCTAAAAATAAAACAAAATATTACATGCACTAACTCACATTCAAACAAAAACTAAGGTCGATTTCAAGATCGATGACTAGAGTACTAAATGATTGGATTTATGTAAGGGCATACCAGTAGCGTTTAGCTATATATCTTCGATAGAGACCACCACAAATCGGATTCTTTTTTAACGATTCGATTCTTTTTTGAATTTGCTCTATTAATATATGATTCAAATATTTATTCTCGATAGAAATAGTCTGGTGTAAACATACATAATTTGAAACAACTGTCAGCATTAATCTTTTTTTAATTAGTAAATAATAAAATTCAAATTAATCAGTTGTTTTCATAGTAGAATGTGTTCATTAGAAAGATAAACAGAACAAAACTTGATTTATTATTATCGTGTATTAGATATTATTGATCAATATACTCCCAAAAGTCTTTCGTTAATGAAAAGTATCATGTATTATCTGTAAAATCAAAACGAACATATCTATCATCAACTTGTAAATATTATCTCTATTTTGACTGATATGTTGAGTATTTATATATATGTACATAATCAATTTCATTCTATTTATTCGTAGAGAATCGATATAAATACATTATAAATATATATTAGAAATCTTTTTTTATATTATATACGCATAAACAATGAATTATTTCTATGACATGTCAAACGATACATCAAGGATTTATTCGCATATTAATTTTTCCGACAATTTTATTTTAATTAGAAATCTTGTTGTCTACTTACATGATGTTTTTAATATTATAATTAAATATATTCATAATTAATATTACAATTTACTTTTTGATCTTCAAAAAGTAATTTCCTAAGAAATTTCGAATAATCAATTAGAATGCTTATTAATTTATTCTACTACGTACTGAGCTCAACAGCTTAAATTATCACGTGTCACAAGATAAATAATTGAAGGTAATAAAAAGTACATTCATCTGTAAACTTTAGACTATACAATTTAACTCATTGAAAAAGAATTTAAATACAACCAAATGATTAATTAGCAAGAAAGGTATATAGATGTATCACAACATCTTTTAATATTTCAAGTGAATAAGATTTTTAATTTGTTTATTAAATTTATTATTTATATCCATAAAGGATAGCTACGTTCAACGTAGAGACCAGTTTTGCGAAACAACAAAACAAAAAATAAACATTTTACATTAAAATAATCATAACGACATATAAAATAAGTACTGAACAAAGAAGAAAAAAAAAATATATCACTGATCCATTGTATTGGATCGTTCTGTTTTTTGATTTTGATTCGCATCGTTTCTATATTTATACATAGTAAGTAAAGATGGTGCACTATTGGAGATATTTTTAATTTTAAATGGTACACATATTGATTGAGAAACAGCTTTACGAGGAATTCGTTCACTCATTGTAACAAAAGTAACTAAATGTGGTCGTTGAATACTTTGTCGTTGTTGTTCGCTATGCAAAAAGAATTGTCGAAATCTACTTTGTACACTTGACATATTCGATAAACTTGATGGTCGATGTCGTTTATATGATCGACATATACATGAATAAATTTCTCTTCGTAATGTTGAACTTAATATAACATATAATGTTGGAGAAAATGCAAGATAAATTAATAAATTTTGTCTCATTAAAAAATTTAATGTCGAATTATCTCGATCATGATCATTTATTAATTTAAATGATAATAAAAAATAATAAAGATGTGTTGGAAAATATGTAAATAATAACCACATTGATTGACACAATAAAGTTAATGTGATTTCATGTGCAGCAGATTTTCTTGATCGTTGAAAACGATTTTTATGATGATTAAATGATAATGATGATTTTGTTATTAAACGTTTACGTCGTTGACACATTTTATAACATATATATATGTCAAGTATTGAATTTAATAAAAATGGAAGTATAAATGAATGTGAATGTGTCACAATTTTTATACGATCTGTTGATAAACGAAAATGTCGTTTAACTGAACAAAGACCATAGGCAAAATTTACCCAACGAAATGCTTTAACATCAACAGATATTAATTCATCAATATGTAATGCAAAACATAAACATGTTACAAATAGAAGTATGAAACATATCGTATGTGATTGTAAGAATTTTTTAACAACAAATGGTCGTGAAAATGTAAATGAACGTTCTAATGATAATAGAACCATAATCCAAAGGGATGTTGTTGCTGTTGATTGTTGTAAATATCGTAAATATTTACATAAATATAAAGAATCAGCTATATAAAATATTAAATAAAGCCATGAATGACTAAAAATAGGAGATTTTCTTAATTTTTGTGTTTGAAATATTAAATATTACTTACGTTAAAATACTCGCACAATTGATAAGTGTTAATGCATAAATATACCAACGAAATGAATTTTGTCGAAATGTTCTTGATGCTGTAAATATTAATAGCGCAAGAATATTGAAAACTAAACCAATAAAACCTAATATTAAAGGTAGAATGCTTATAGCTGATGGCCATTTTGATTGTGATCGTGGTAATAATAATGTTTCATTAATAAATAAACCAGATGTTAATCCAACATATTTTAATGCATCATTCAATGACTCGAATGTATCTTGTTCACTTTTATCTTCCATTTAATATCGAAAAAATTATATTCATTATTTAATAAAAATCTAAAATATATAGATAATGTTCATCAAGTAAAATGCCAGACACATAATTTGAAATGATGATTAGGAAAAAAAACACACATACTGTTTTTTTCACTCTTTCATTAAATATTAACAAGTGTCGACAGATTCATTTTACAATAAAATTCCTAATCTTGTCTTGTCATATTTTTCTTGACATATATCTAACTTCCTGTGTCTTCATTTTGACAGCATAAATATTAGCTTTGATTGACAATGAAAAGAATGATGACGTAAAGTCGAGTACCGAAAAACACGAGAAATAGAAAACATTGGGTTTTTTTTGTCTGAATGTATTTAAAGAATATTATATTATTGATTGAATAGAATCTCATCTCAAATAATTAAGTAACTCTATTATTAGAACAGAAAAAAGTATAATAGAAATCATTACTTTTCACAACTATAACAATAGAATATTTTCGTCCACCGTTAGGCAATTAAAACGTTTGAAATAACTTGTATCGTTCTCTTTGTCAACAACAATAATAATAATAATAGTCAAATCTATTATCTCGACTATGTTTTTGCTACGAGAAAAAAACAAGCCGGATAAATCCATTAAGTTAAGAATAAAAATTTCGACTCTTTAACTGTAATGATTATGTGTTACGCTACATTATCACAAACTTTAATTGATGATAATAGAATCGTTTGTGTATATGTCAAACTTTTAACGTCGTTTAAATCTATTCTGTCTTCTTTCTATTTTCACTTAATTAATCTCGCAAACAACTAAGACTAATAGCATAAAGAAAAACAGTAAGGACGTACTAAGATTTTTACTTAATTTGTCATTGTAACAGTAATAAGAATATAATTGTCAACTATATTTCTATCTAATTACAGTTTTGAGAACATTGGCACAAAACAAGACAACATATGTCGGAAAATACTTTTTTTATATGAGTTTATTAATTTCAAGACAACCAAAAAAAATGAACTTGTGCATACACCATAAGTTCTTTTTACCTCGAAAAATAAATACTTACTTTGCTATTTTTATTGTGAATATATAAGAAGTAGATCGTTATCATAAATTAGAAAACATACTGTGCCGACAATGTTTCTTTAAGAATACTCTTGAAATATATATATATATAACGAGGGCAATCAAAAATAGTAACTAGCTGTCTTTTGAGTATAAGTATGTTTTTACGAAAGCTTATATATGAAGAATCCAGTATAACACAGAAAAAAAAATTTGTTTCTTTTCTATTCTCGACTATAATACTATTAGACAGACTTGTCTTCGTCATAATAAAAATAGAGTTTAATATGGTTCAATAATTGTTTAGAAATGCAAAAAAAAAAAGGATAATCTGATTTATTATTTTCGAATAAAACTGAACATTATATCACCAAATAATATAATACATGTCAATATATTTTTCTTCGACTAGATAATAAATATCGAATAAAACTAGCTTACTTACTCTATTGCTCTACTTATGATAAAGGTCTTATCTTGCAATCAGTAAATAGCAGAAAACAAATGCAACTTATTTTCCATTTCACACAACAGACATTAATAGGCGTGTTCTTCCATTACAGATACAACTTACATGATGCGGAATACTTTTTGATTTTCTTACTTCTACTCGTTTTCTTTTCTTCTTGTTTTATTCGTCGGAAACGTTTTTCTCTTTTTATGTATTTTAAGAATAGTAAATAATTCAAAACATTTGCTTTTAAAACATTAAATAAGTCTACTTAAATGCAACTATATGAAATCAGAGAATAGTAAAAAGAAAAATGTTTCTCTTCATTAAATACTAAAAAACAATCTATCAAATAATTGCAAACATATGACTTTTAAAAAAATTCATAAATAATAAAATAGACATGATCAATTTGTAAGTCATGCTATTAATTAGACTTTTGAAATAATTAAAAATATTCTTATAAAATCAAAAAATTACTTATAAAAAACGAAAGCAAAAGATTAAAAGACTAGCCAGTCATCATGACATTAACAACATTTAAGTTACGATGTGTATTGAATTACAATATTAAATTTCTAATTTGAAAAAAAGGTAAATAATACTTCCCGACAAATATGATGTTTAGATAAAATAAAAAAGCAAGTATTAATCATTACTCTGTCTGAAAAACATTAACCTACATAAAATAAAAAAACTAAAAGGCCATTGAGTTATTTTCTATCTTTCATGTCATTGCATAAATCATCATGCATTTGAAGATAATCTATAGAAAACTTCCGAGCTTAAATGAATATATATATTTTGACATCGAATAATGTCGAGACAAGACTTTTATGTCGTAAAAAATCAAGCTGATATTAAAAATAGCTCGATGTGTTTCTGCAAGAAAAATCTATCCTTACATAATAATTTAGTCTAATGAGCGGGTAGTTAACTCTATAACTTCAACTGTTAATTCTCAAGAGTATAATTATAATCAATAAATTTTGCTCGACTTAAGATTTTACTATAATTTGGATTATATATAAATAATACAAAAAAAAAGTGTAAATTTCATGTCTACGCGCAAATCGGAAGAGAGGACCTTCATTCATAAGTTCCAAGTTTTTCTTATGATAGAATTTCCTTCTATAAGAATCGTATGATTTGGTTAAAATAGTAATGAATGATTCTAATATTAAATGAAAACTTCGGAAACTATAGTTTAATTTTTAGTAAATATTTACATACATGTTATCTCTATCAATAGTCTTATGATTTTCTATTCGAAGATATTTTATAACATCACATGGACTAACTGTCACATATATACTCATTGACTCGACAATTTCTATAGAAAAAAATGATGAGATTTCATAAATATTAGATGTCAGAGAATAAGGTGACATTATATTTATTGTCACACCACGCAGAAAATAACAGAGTAAAAAATGTTTTCAGTATTATTTATTAATACATATCGGAGGAGCGTCTGTCTTGCTGAATGAAATCGTTGTCATAGATAATTATTGTAGTATACAGTAAAAATCTCAGATAGAATTATAGTTGTCAAGTGGAAAAATTCCAGAAATAAATATTATTATATTGAATGACAAACTTGATTATAATCAATGTATTTTTATTCTTTCACATATGATTTTTCTAATAAAGTCACTCTCATTTTTGTTTTTGCGAAATATTCCGAATTTGTTTTGATGGTCCTTTGAATACATAAACTCGATTAACTTATAGTTTACAGATGATAGAGTTTTTATCGATGCCTTGGAGAATTACATCGATTAGTCTTGTCTAGCACATACATTATATATATATATTCTTAGAAGTTAATATTAATACCACATGCGCAATAGTCTGCCTGAGTACATTTATGATAATATTAACTTTTTTTAATAAATGAAATTTTTTAATCTCATCTTAAGATTCTATTAGAATAATTATTTTTATTCAAAGGTAAAACAAAGATTTCTATAGAATTAAACGTCACGTAGAATATGATATCGATATATTGACATGATGTATCGATAATTTAATACTTTGTATTGATAACTAGTGATGATCATCAATCAACTAACTTTAATCTCAATACTATAAAATGTGATATATATATATATATCAGATATTAATCTAATACGAAACATAAAACTTACCTCGATCTGTTTTATGATATATGTGATTCTAATAGAATGTTTAACAAAAGGAAGCATAGGGAAATGTAAAAAACTCTGTTAGACATTGTGTGACACTCGAAGTCTAGGCTTAGATATTTCTTTTTTTATGATACTAGACATTTATAAGTTGCTCTCTATCTATCAATAATCTTTTACAATGTCAGTTTGTTAAAAGGTTTATTTACCTAGAATTCTATTTACAAAATTAAACATTCCAAATTATATGTATATATAGTGAATTTTATTAAAAAAATTCTTACAAAACAATCGAAGAATCTGATCTCATACGATGAGTCCTTATGATTTTAATTTAGAAGAGCGAGAAAAAAAGCTTTTCTTTTTCTAATTAAAAATAGATACTCTTATTTCATCCATCCTATATTTTCTTATAAAAACAATCATAAATAACAACAAAAAAGAATTTCTAATCTAATAAATACTTTTGTTTTAATAATAACACGAATTCTAACAAGTATATAATCAGTATAGCTATTAAATATATATTCTATTCATTTATCATAACTAACACATCAAATATTTTTCAATTATAACAAACAATACTTACAATAAAAACCAACAAAATTCTTTATCATATCTAACTATTATTTGACAATATTTATGACATCATACAATAGAAATTTATTTGTTGAACAGCTGTTGCTATATTATCAATCATAAAATTCTTTATATCTAATATATCGTTTTAGAACTTACGTGTAATTATGCTAAAATATTGTTCATGTCTCATCTCTATTGTTTTTTGTTCACAAGAAATAACACTCTACATTTTAGTTTTACGTCAAATGGGTAATATAGCAGTTTTTGATATTAACGAGTAAAGATGTCAATCCTACGCTCTCTTCTTTTTTCTCTTGAGAAAAGAGCTAAAGCTGTCTAATAATATCATATTTTTCTTATCTTTCATCATCAAACTCAAGAATACTTCATAGAAAAATTACAGATAAAGAATAGATCTTCTTCATTAAAAAAAAATTATTTTTCTATTGGCTTTCGGTCATGTCATGTAACAAAAAGCACAAGAGATCTTTCGTCTTTTTCCTCTATATGTATTACAACAGACAATAATATTATGTATACATAAAAACTGCAAGCAATAATAGAAAAGATATGTACAACTGTCAAATAATCTCAATATATCAGATATTAATATGTCGAACTACGGCGGGAGAGAAGAAAAGCTATTGGCATATGCGAGTAATGTTGTAGTTTGGACTGTATACCACCAGAAGAGACATCACAGAATCGTAGACTTATATAATCTAATTAACTAAAATTTTCTTGACATTTATAAATAGGTTAGAATCGATTTTGTTGAACAGTCATAGATCAATTTCGTATTGAAAACGTGCGGGGGTACTATTTTATAACGTGATCAGTTAATAAATATACTAATTTATTCAGTGGTATTACGCATTGCTTTATCACGCATTTTAAATGAAACAAAAGAACAAACGGAATCTACTTACAAATATATTAAATGGTCGTTTAAAAAGTATATTTCTATTATATTCAAATTTATTTCCGTTTTGTAAACTATTATGTGAAAAATATCTTATTCATGCAAAAAGGACAACTAGTAAAAAATAAATAGAACATCTGATGCCATTTTTATCTCAAAATATGTGTCACAAAAACAAAGCCATTTAGTTCACTTTATATCATCATATTTTCTCGTAAATTTTTACCTGATATCTATATATCCAAATATATTGTTTTTAAAATAATGTCTATTCCTCATTCTTTTATAGTCGAGTTTCTCTTCTTATCAATATTAAATTAAATGTAAAAATATTTTGTCACGAATTTTTCTTTTTCCTGAATATTTATTACAATACAAGTAATCGTACGAGACATGTCTAGGTTAAAGCAACACAAAAAAAGAAGACATATAATATTACAGAGTAAAAACAAAAAGAACTATGGCTGTAAAATGGCCATCATGGAATGCGAGATTCAATTTAACAGTAAACATACATACATTTATATCTACACTGTCATGAAGGAATTACATACATGAAATGTATGGATTCATTCAAGACAACGTATGCATATTTAAAAAAAAGAATTAGCACCAAAACTAATCTATTCATTATTTATAAATTTTGTTTGTTTATGATTAATGATATTTTTATTTGTATATTGTTTTGATTCAGTTCTTACACGAATAAAAAGTATACCACATAGAATAATTAATATAATAAAAGATAAGATTAAACCACCCATTAGAAAAAACATGACAATTGTTGTATCACGATGATTCATAATTGCATGTTTATAATATTTTGTAGGAATAGGTGCTACGGGTTAATAAAATAAAAACATATCAGAAGTTATAGATTAAGATTGACTTACTTAATCGACGTTGAAATGCTGTTGGCCAATATTCCGACCAAAAGCCAGCTGCATCAAATCGATAATTTGTTTGTAAACATGGATAACGATCGATAAGTAAATAAGTCATATTTTGTACTAATTGTGGTAACCAGGCAATATTTAATCGAAGTGCATATCCAGATGGAGAATAAATTAAACCTGATGGACGTTCTAATGATGGTGGTGTATATTCACGAAGAAAACCACCTGGTGTTGGTTCTCTATATTAATAGACAAAAAAAACATACATATATTCTTTTGATAAAAAAATCTTATATACCCATAGCGTGCAAAATTTACGAATAATTGCATTGTATAATTAGATATTTCTTCATCAACATATGTAAATACTTGTCGTCGTTGAATGCCATGCCATGGCATCCATTGTGAATCATTTATAAATGGCATTCCAAAAAGATAATCAAGTTCACTACCACGTGGTGCACCCATCCAATATGGATAAACACTTGTTAATGAATGATAAGCAAATACATACATATATGAAGAATTAAATGTACGTTGAGCATGAAATCTAGCAGCATCAGCAACGCAACATGTTGTATGTTCATCAGAATGTAGATCAATTAAACGTTGTCGTAACATTGTCATATTATCTGGTTGAGGCCAATGGGCATATTTGTATTTTAATACAGTTGTAATGCCTTCTTCATCAAGATACATATCACCACTAGCATACGAACGAGAAATAAATATTATTTTTAAGTAGAATAAAAAATAACTATCCAGATGCATCTAATTTCATCTTTTTCGTTTATTTAGACAATATATAACGAAATCTTTTAGAAAACTTTCTTCTATATCCATGAGATTTCTGCAAGTCTAATAACTTTTATGTCAAACTACAGATTTACATTTCTGTCTCGTGATAGACTCGAAATATTATTATTTCATGTAAAGTATCATACTTCTTGTTTTGAAATATCTACTCAACTTAAGAGCTTAGTTCTTATTATATAAAACTATCATCGAAGTCTGTATTTTTCCAACTTAGACACAATGTAATTAAGAATCATTTGGTAACATAATACACTAAATCAATTATTGTGTTGCATATGACTCAAAAAAATAAAAGGTAGTCGTCTGACATTCAATAACGCATGATAATTCATAAAAAACATGATCTTTTAACTTATTATTTACCCTCGAGGTAAAACATAATCTGTTTCAGCATATTCATAAGCGAATGTTTGTCTTTCAAAACTATATCGATCTTGTACACGACGATTAGTAAACATATTTAAATAAGCATGTTGATCATGGTGTGAAAAACCTTTATCAATGACAGCTAAATTAATCGGTTGTTGAGCAAAATGAATAGCACCATCATCACTCGTTGTACCCAAGATAACAGATATATTAGCAAATAATCCTAAACGACGAAGTTCAATAGGACGACGTGTAAAAATTGGTTGAATAAAATCATCTGTAAATGTATCAATTGCAGGACGCCATGGATGTCCACCAAATTCATCCGGAAACTATAAAAAAATACGAATATATTTAATTAATAAATTAACTTTTTTTTTATTCTGACCCAAATATTCGTTGCAGAATTTGTAATATCAAGTCCATTTCGTTGTCTTAAACAATCAAGTAAAACATCAACATTTCTATCATTACATGTTAAACGTCTTGCTAAAAATCTTGCTTGTTCAAGTGGATAATGTTCATCTTGAATAATTGACCATTTACATAAATCACTTCCACTCATCATAACAGCACGACGAAAATTTACTTAATTGAAACAGAAAGAAATTTAATAGAATAAATTTTAAAAATTTATTCTGTAAACATACATGGTGTATTTTGAGATAATAGATGTAAACCAATACTAGCTGCTCCAGCTTCATGACCAATAACTGTTATATTTTCTGGATCACCATTAAATTCTCGTATATTGTCATAAACAAATTTTAATGCCATACGTTGATCAAAAAGACCGTAGTTTCCGCGACCATTCAATGTTTTTGTGCTTAGAAAACCTACAAATAAAGAATTCGTATTTTTTTCTCTACATTTAAATATCTACCTAGTGGACCAAGTCGATAATTAAAAGTCACAACAACAACATTTCGTTGTGCTAAAACAAAACCATTATAAATTTGTGAACTTCCTCCAATAAAATCTCCGCCATGTATAAATACAATAACAGGTAGTTTAGGCATATAACGATCGGTTCTCTATCAAAAAAAAGCAATACTCTTTTATTTTTTATTTAACTTCGAAATAAATTACTAACATTTGGTGCAAATATATTTAAATAAAGGCAATCTTCACTAAAATTCGATGGAGGAAAATTCGGAATAAATTGACGAATTTTTTCTTGTTCACTCGCTGGTTGTAAACATGATGGACGATAATGAGTTGCATCATAAATTAAAAATTTCGTATCCCATGGATCTGGTGGTAATGGTGGCTGTAATATTCAAAAAAAAGTAAATAGATTCTGAATTTAATTAATAAAATAATTACTTTAAATCGATAAAGACCAACTAGAGAATAAAGAAAAATTCATCAATTAAATATTTAATAAATATTTCAATTATATTTACCAGGCGGTCGAGCATAAGGTATTCCAAGAAAAACACTAATATATTTTGGATAAAATGAATCTCGTGAATCTACATTATAACTTGTACCTCGTACATATCCATATTGAGTATGTCGATCAACCTTTCAAATAAGAAAATGACTATTTTAAAAAATTAAATAAATAAATATTTATACATTAAAAATAGGTGGAGGACCATTTATGTAATTATTAAAACGATTTTGATTTTGAATATCGAAAAGAACATCATCAAAATATGGTTGAGCGGTTATAATAGCAATTGAATTTATAATAATAAAACAAACCAACATTGCCATAGATCAACTGTTTTTTTTTCTTTTGAATACTGTACAGTATATGTACAAAAAAAAAGTCGTAAAGTTTAGTCACCTGCCATCAATGTTATATGAACATGTGCTGCTAGATGACGATTGGTTCATTTTGATTGAATATATTGAACTGTACAGGTAAGAAAAAATTTAACTCATTCTGACATGAGCATACGTACAAAAAGATGTCACAGCGACCTTTGTGAGGAGAACTTAGTAAGTTCTATAATTCGTACTGTTAAATTTAGAGGAAGTTTATAAAATCTATTGTTTCACAATTGAAAAAATACAAAAACTTATAATATTTACATTTAATAATCATTGTAAACAAATTTTTCTTACAATCAGTTCAATTATTCTTTTTCTTCATCGAAATATTAATTTATTATTGAAAGTAAAATACAATATATTCAAAAAAAAGATTCAAGATTAATTTATCGTTCAATATTTATAAATAATTATCACAAGTTAAACGTTTATTTCTGTTGTTTTCCTGTTAATAAATCTCCCCATGCCATGTTAAAATAATCGTCATAATACCAAATACGATACATTGGTATACGAACAACAGAACGATCCATATAATACGGTGGTGGTAACATAATATTAGTTGAATATATAATTCGTTGTTCAAGTCCACGTATAATTTTAATATTAACACAAATATCTTTAATTGTGTCTACAATTATATCTTTTGGATATAATAAATTAACTTTCAACGATGTAAATGATTGACCTGCTTGTACAATTGGAATTGTATAATGACCGAACATTTTACAACAATCTTTCGCATGAATAGTTATATCAATAACTTCATCTCCGTGTGTTAAATCATAAAGATTATCAATTGAAGAAATTAATTCCCAGTTAAGAAAATAAAACAGGTCCTTGCTAATATGCATTTTGAATATGAATCAAAGAATTCAACTACTGTTATGTTTAAATAATGTTTTTTTTCTTAATGGACTGATATAATCAGCAGATGATATTTTTCTATATGAAAAACAGGCAATAAAATTTCAGTTTTGTCCTTCATCTAGTTTCATTAGCATTTTATGTTTTCTAATGTAAATAGGAGATGTCTGATAAAACAAAAAAAAAATCAAATAATAATATACTTTAATGCATTTTATTTATTGTAGAAAAACATGAATATAATCAATCGATATTATGATTTATTTCTTTGATTATATCACATAATATTCTACTCACAAGGTAGAATTTTTGTTATTTTTTATTAATTGAATAGTAATAAGTGTCAATATATTGAATAATGGGTGAACCAGATGGAACTGATTACTTTTATTGAAGATTCAGTTATGCTACAAGATTGTCCGTAATATTCTATTTCTTTTGGTGCGTATTTCGCAATTTTCAGAAGAATTATTTTTTGTAGAAAAGATCTTGAAATACAAATTGTGCAAACATCGGAAGAACTCATTCTTTGGCAGGTAAATATTATTATAGTATAACCTACGCATTTTCATTCTCTAATTTAAGACTTATATAATTAATAAACTTCACATTCAACGACATGATAATTACCGTCTCATAAAGGTAGTCCATCTGTTGAGAATATGACTTCCCAGAGAACATACAAATATACTGTTAGATGTCTATTTAAAACGTTTTTTTTAACTGTAGCAATAAAAGATCATGAAAACAAATCTATTTTTTGATGCTAAGTACTTTTCTGTTACCAAAAGCCTTTCTGAATATACGACCACACAAATCGGCAGGTTTTTATCTGGCTCACCTGTTAGATCATGAATTCAGACATTTGACATATCAATGAATGTTGAAGTCAAATGATTCTTAGGAATATTTACCATTGAAACCTACATAAATTTCTTCGTGTTATTTTCTTAGATAACAAATACAAGAAATTTTTTATCAACCTCCTCACATATCATTTCTATTGTATGTAAAAGACAAAATATGTTTCTGATTTGATCGTATCAACAAATTCAACGAGTTTATTTTATCTGAATATGTAAATACTAACATCCAAAAGAAAAATAAACAAAAATAGATGATTAAATATTTTACAAAAAAATTTTTTCGTTATTCATAGTCAAAAATGCAATAAGAATATCAAAGTAAAAATAATGCACACAATATATGAATCATTCTGGGTTTTTTCTCTATATTATCATACGGACTGTATGACCGTATTGAAAATAATTTAAATTAATTCGAAATACCAAGTTCTTCAATAGATGTATGACCTTTTTTATGTATCATACGAAATCGAGCTAAATCTTTTCGTGTTATCATTCCAACAACTTCATTCTTATCATTAACAACAACTAAATGACGTAGACCAAGACCACGAAACATAGAAAATATACGAGGTAGTGTTGAATGCTACAAAATAAATTACATGTATATAGATTAGATGATAAATATATTTTTTTACATGTGAAACAGTATAAGCTAAATTCATATATGGTCGTAAATCACAATAAAGTTCACGTTCTTCATCAGTTAAATGAACACTCTAAGAAAAAGCAAGTTTTCATTAAAAATAAACCATTTATTTTTTTAAAAATTACCTCAATTGATGGATGACGTGGATAACTTTCACGAAAATCATCCAATGTTAAATAATCACGAAGAGAATCATTTAATGAAATAAAATTCTAATGAAAAAAACATGAAATCTAATCTCGTAACAATTTTTATGAACTTACTCGTTTTCTTAATATTGTTATAAGTTGATGTCGTAAAATAATTCCTTGAAATGTACCAGCTCGTTCATTATTTGTCTAAAATATATATACATATAATAAATAGAACAATAAAATATGTTAGAATTTCAAACTTCATCAGCATGATGATCAACAACTGGAAAACCATGATGACTTTCAGCACGTAAAATTCGAAAGATTGTTTCTACTTTTTCAACAGTTTTAAGTTTTGTTACTGGTGCTGACATTACACTTCTACATAAAACAGATAAAACATTTTCAAAATAAATTTTTTAATTTCTTCTACTAACAAAGCTGAAAGACGAGATAAAAATACTTCCGATTGCCATGGTAAGAAAGGTACACCTAATATATACATAGAAGAGAAAAATTAGCATTAAAAAATATTTAATAAACTAACTTTGTAAAGCAATATGTATATCAAAAAATCCCTAAATAAAAATAAATAAAAATAAGCTTCGTTTTTTTTTCAAAAACATATTCTTACTTCATTAAAATAATCACCCGTAAGTTTCGCCACTGTTAATACAATCATAATAGGTAAACCGAGTACAATATCACCAGTAGCTTCGATTAAAATGACTGCAAGACTGATTGTCATTCTCATAATTCCACCTAGATTTCAATATAAGAATACAATAAGAGAATAAAAATAATATTTACCAAGTTGTGATGCAGCTCCAAAAAGAGCATATTTTCCAGGATTAAAATACTATTTAAATCATTAAAAATATTAGAAAAATAGAAAATAAACTTACTATAGATGGAAATAAATTATGCATACCAATACCAACTAATCGACCCCATGAAGCACCAATTAAAAGACTTGGAATGAAAAGACCGGAACTAACTATAATACCATATGTCCAACAAGTTAAACAAAAATAAACAATACAAAACGCTAATAAACTCCAGGCTTTATAAGTTCCTAAATATAATTTACAAAAATATATTTTCTAATTTTTTCTTTCGAAAAATATTCTTACCTATTTCACTATGAAATAGATTTCTAACTGCATTTTCCGGTGTACTAAAAACAATTGTTGCCATTGTATTATATTGTCCATCAGGACAAAATAATTGTATTGTAGGTGAATTAAGTTCGACTTGAGTTTTAATCGGTCGACATTCATTCATTGTTGTAAATATTAATACAAAAGCTATAACAACAGTTGTCGCTGCGACAAGTAAGACTTCAATAATTAATACCCAATGTCTATTTATATAATGATGTCGAAATTTCGTTAAACGTAAATTTAATTCATTAAATAAAGCTCCAAATACTCCGCCCATAACACCCATTAAAATAAATATAGGTAATTCAAACCACATATAAGGAACATCCTAAAAAAGAAAACTTTTCCAATGATTTTTTTGAAAGATGTTTTTTCTATACTTTAAAAAGACCAAAATTAATTAAACCGGGTGATGATAAATCACCAAAATGACCATCAATTGCACTCATAACAACATTTAAAGTAAATGTTGACACCATAGATGCAAAAAACTAAATAAAGAAATTTATTTTCCTCTTCGTTTTAAAAATTTACATACAATGAACCATGTTAATTGTTGATTAAAAAAACTAGCACCTTCTTCGAGAGCAAATAAAACACCACCAACCGGAGCACCAAAAGCTGAAATAAAACTTTTTAATAAATTATCAAATCATTTTTTTAATGTTCTATACCTGCAGCAACTCCAGCAGCAGCACCAGCCGAGACGAAATCACGTTTATGTTTATCAGTACGAAAATGTTTAAAAATCTAATTGAAAAAAATAAAATTTTAAATTTTCGCTTTCGAAAATATTTTATTTACATGAAAATCGAATTTTAATGTACTACTTTTTCCTTGGGAAATTCCACCAGCAATAATGGAACCGGAATGTATCCTATACAAATAAATAAAATCATATATTTTGTTAAAATAAATAAAAACATTCTTTACATTGGTCCTTCTTTTCCAACAGCTAATCCACCCGATACAGAAAATATCACACCTAATACTTTTGCAATCAATGCTTTTAAACTAAGTACATGTGGAACAGCTACACCATTAAGATAACATTTAACTTGTGGAATACCTGAACCACGTGCAGCTGGCTATTAAGAAAAAAACAAATAGATCAAAGAAATTGTTTTTTTTATATATTTTAATAAATACCTCCCAAAGAATAAGTAAACCGGAAACAAGTACAAAACTCATATTAATAGCAATCCATGTTAAATATGGTGTAAATAAACAATGTTCAGATAAACATGTATCTAATCTATTTTGTACATAACTAAATTTAAATTTTGTTAAATTTTTTACAGCAAAATCCACAAATACAGCAACTAATCCAGTACAAATACCAATTAATAACATAATCACCCATTTTAAAACAGCTAAACGACGTGTATGTTGATGACCTAAACGTTTTTCTTCCATATGAGATATTTCACTTTCATCACATTCATAATCAAGTGATTCATAACGACCGGATATTAATTTTTCACCAGTAGCAAAAGTTGTATGTGAACCTGTACGTTCATGATTATCATTTGTTGTGATATAAGCATTAAGAGATGTATAGGTATGCTATATTATAAAAATAAGATTTTATATACAAAAAGAACTGATTATCGATGTCTTACATGTCGACCACTTTCATCTAATAATGGTTGATTTTCATCTTCAGTCATCTAAAACGATGTATAATATGAAAAAAAAATACGTCTTTTGTCTTTTATAATGTTATTTTCTTGCAAAACAAAAGAAAAACAACAAGTTTTATATCATTTTATTTTTTCACTAAACAAATAACATCATCATTCAATAAAACATGTCCAAGACCAACACGTTGTGGTGAAAATTTCACCGAGACACCCTAGAAAAAATTTATTTTTGTTGAAATTATATTCAAACTTAAAAAATCAAATATTCTCTTCTTACCCAAACAAGTGCATATTTAAATTGATCAACCATTGTTCGATGAACCATACGACACTAAATCAATAGTTTATGATTAAATTAAAATTGAAACGAATACAAAAATAACTTACGACATGTTCAATAGTTGTTCCAGATCTAACAATTAAACCTCCTTCAAAATCAGGTTTTTCACCACGTTTTTTTGTATAAACACGGATTAAATTTAATAAACCCCATATACTTTCAAGCATAAAATCTATATTTAATTTCATGTTACAACTAAATGAATAATTAGAAAAAACTAAATTTATAAAAAAAAAATTTCAGTACCTGATTACGATTGAATTCGGTAAATGAGCAAGTCGATCAACTTCTTCAATTGATACCTGATCAATTTTATTATAAACCTAAAAATAGAAAAAATAGGTCAATGTATATATGCTAATTTTATTTTAATTACATAAAGACATGGCATATAAACACGTCGTCCAACAACAACATCAATAAATTCATCACTTGTATAATCATCTCGAAAGAGAACTTGAGCATTGAATATTTTATATTCATGAAGAATTAAATTAATCAATTTTTCCGAACATTTTGTCATTGGTACTGTACTTGTTATATTAATTCCACCAGTTTTTTTTGGCTAGATTTAGTTAAATAAAATAAATACAGTCAGATTTATAAAACACTTACAATAATACCTTAAAATATATTTCTGGTTTTGCTCGATTCAATCGAATACCAACACTTTCAAGTTCTTCTTCAAGAATTTCTCTAGAAAAATTTAAAAATAGACGTTAATTAGAAAGATGTATTGATCTGATAAGATAATCAAAATTTTTACCTTTGTTTTTCACCTTTTGTAGCGTCTAACATCATTAAGACCATGTCAGCGGTACGTGCGACGGCAATAACTTGACGACCTCGACCTTTGCCTGTTATATAAACATAAAACATAGACTTTTTCTCCGAAAAAAAAGAATTTTGAATACAAACCTTGAGCGGCTCCTTCAATAATACCAGGTAAATCAAGTAATTGAATCTATAGATAAAAATAAATAATCTTTCAAACATAATTATACATGCAGTTCCACATACTTCAGCACCATTATACTAGAAATAAAATCATCTTATTTTATTTTATTTATAAAAAAAATTAATTTACTTCGATGACACCGGGAATACAAGTTAAAGTTGTAAATTCATATGAAGCAGCAGTTGATGCCGTACGTGTAACTGTACTTAACAATGTACTTTTACCAACTGATGGAAAACCAATAAGAGCAATACGTGCATCACCAGATTTAACAACATCAAAACCTTCACCCTATAGAATTATTTTATAGAATATCCAAAAAAATTAAAAATCTTTTAGTTTTTCGAACCTTTCCAGCACCACTCTTAGCATCGCCTTCCATTAATGCTTGACGAAATTTTGCTAATTTCGCTTTAAGTAAACCCAAATGGTATTCAGTTGCTACAAAAACAAATGATCTTTTTCATTAATTGAACTATAATTCAATTTCAAATATCTGTACCCTTATTTTTTTGTGTTCTTGCTATTTCCCTTTCAATATCGGCAATTTTTTCAAGAATACCCATTTTTTTTTCTTATTTTTTAATTAAATTTAATCTGAAAAAATAAATTTAATTTGATTTGCTAAAGAAGAAATTAAAAGTTCGTATATTTCCGATTTTTTGTTGTTTATTTGGAAGAGAAGATAACTGTAAACATTGTTTTTTTTCGTAATATTTCTGTTTTTACGCGTTATCTTTTTTATTTTCGTGTTATTGTTGATAATGCGATGACTAATCTTTTTACATAATGACCATCTTCGTCGTCGTTCTACCGCAAGCAAGCACGTCTTTTGCTATCGAACATGACTAAACACAAGCTCACACTCATTCCTTCGTGTGTGTGTATGCATACTCTCCACCCTCCTTTGCGTTCTTCAATCCAATGCATTTTCTTCATTGGTTCGAACGTTCGCTTCAAATGTCCTTATATGGCAATACAAATAGAATTTCAAGCCGACGATGAATAAGAAGAGAGAGAGAAGAAACACTGCACTCGTCCGTATTTGTATATAAACCGAAACAAAGCAGCGAACTATCATCATTTCAGGCCACTCGTTTCGAGGATATAAACGCACTTGTTCAACTACATTCACATTTTTATTTTTATTTTTTAACAATTATCATCAAATATGTGTGACGACGACGTAGCAGCTCTTGTTATCGACAATGGAAGCGGTATGTGCAAAGCAGGTTTTGCTGGTGATGATGCTCCACGTGCAGTATTTCCATCTATTGTTGGTCGACCACGTCATCAAGGTGTTATGGTTGGTATGGGTCAAAAAGATTCTTATGTTGGTGATGAAGCACAATCAAAACGTGGTATTCTTACATTAAAATATCCAATTGAACATGGTATTGTTACTAACTGGGATGATATGGAAAAAATCTGGCATCATACTTTTTATAATGAACTTCGTGTTGCACCAGAAGAACATCCAGTTCTTCTCACCGAAGCACCACTTAATCCAAAAGCAAATCGAGAAAAAATGACACAAATCATGTTCGAAACATTCAATACACCAGCTATGTATGTCGCAATTCAAGCTGTACTTTCACTCTATGCATCTGGTCGTACAACTGGTATCGTACTTGATTCAGGTGATGGTGTCACACATACAGTTCCAATCTATGAAGGTTATGCATTACCACATGCTATTCTTCGTCTTGATTTAGCTGGCCGAGATTTAACTGATTATTTAATGAAAATCTTAACTGAACGTGGTTATTCATTTGTTACAACAGCTGAACGTGAAATCGTTCGTGATATCAAAGAAAAATTATGTTATGTTGCACTTGATTTTGAACAAGAAATGGCTACAGCTGCATCATCATCATCACTCGAAAAGAGCTATGAATTACCTGATGGTCAAGTCATTACCATTGGAAATGAACGTTTTCGTTGTCCGGAAGCTTTATTTCAACCAAGCTTCCTCGGCATGGAAACAGCTGGTAAGTTATTGAAAAAACTTTTGTTCATTCATAATAATGAATCTTCTTTTTATCTAATAGGTATTCATGAAACAACATACAATTCAATCATGAAATGCGATATTGATATTCGTAAAGATTTATATGCTAATACAGTTCTTTCAGGAGGTACAACAATGTATCCAGGTATTGCTGATCGTATGCAAAAAGAAATCACATCATTAGCACCATCAACAATGAAAATCAAAATCATTGCTCCACCTGAACGCAAATACTCCGTATGGATTGGTGGTTCAATTTTGGCCTCATTATCAACCTTTCAACAAATGTGGATTTCTAAACAAGAATATGATGAATCAGGTCCATCAATCGTTCACCGAAAATGCTTTTAAACAAATGAAATCTTCTTTTTTTTTCGATGTGCTCAACACTGTGCGCCTGTGTGTGTATATTTTCCTATGTGTTGTATGTCGATCGTCATTAGTGTGTTTATTGTTGATAGACATGCTTTTTTTTTCTCTTTTTATTCCACTTTGTCATTCCACACGTTTTCTTTATCATTAAATCATTCAGATGAAAACACCATCCGCACATAAAAAACAAACTCTATTTTATTATTTACTTAACTTAACTTAACTAAAGCATAGAAGTGAATTCAAAAGATTTAATTAGATAAAAGTTCCGTGAAAATATAAGCAAATTTAACTTACATACGTATACATATATACATTCATCGATGTCACACTTTCCTTGCAAAATAAAGAAATTAACTTCAGTACATTTTGTTATCTAAGATTGTAAACGATAACAATCATTTTTTTTTCGAAATGTATTTTCTTTTTTTCTTCGTCGGTAGATTAATTCTCCCTTTGTTTATTATTATTTTTACATCGAACATAGCGCTTTTGTCTTTTGGTTGGTAGTTAATAGTGTACGAATGACATAATCAATGGCGATGAGAATAGATTTGTCTATGAAAAAAAATATTATTGAATTTGTTTTTACTTTGCTTTAGATCGAACAGTTTAAAAAATGGGTGATGCTTGGTATAGTAAAACCAATGAAACAATTATCCCGGGTAATCCAGATCGTATAAAAGCTAAATGGGATCCATTACAATACTTAAATTTGGCTCAATATCTTAAAGTATTCAACGAATATCCACGTGATTTCAATGCACGTGTACATGGACCATATTGTCCATGGCGTTATTATGGAAAACGTTAGTTACAAAATTAATAATTTAACTTATTCTTTTACTATAATTTATTTTAAAGGTGATCTTCATTTTGGTGATGTTAAAGTAGGCGATATTCCAGCATGGATTGCTCGACGAGATAAAACACCTATGGGTATTTATCAAGGAGGTATTCGAAGTAAGTTTATTAGGATTGTATAAGAAGGAAGATAGATAAAAAAAAGAATTTCTTTAGCATTCTGGAAATTTTATCGTGCTTATTTGGATAATAAAAGACCAAATCTTATTTGGTATACACAAATATTTATGGTTGCTTCACTATTTAACTTTGTTTTCTTTGCTATACCTGATAGAAGTAAGTTATTTTTGATTGAAATCTCTATTAATATTATTTGTATTTTTGTAGAACATTACAAATGGGCCAAATATCATTAAATACATATTGGATTAAAAACAAAATTATTATTATTACTACTACTCCTTTACTTGCCAGTCCTACCGTAGTTATTAAACGCGTATTTTTCATTTTTTTCAAATAAAAAGTTTAGGAAAATGAGCGTTTATATTTTCTTCATTGATTTATCTTAAACCTACGGTTTATTATAAACACAATCATAATTATACAGGACAAAAATGATGAAAAATCGACTTCAAGAAATTTATTTTTATCGTGAAATAATTTCCTCTAGTATTAATCTTAAAAAAGTCAAGTATACTTGGATTTTTTTATAAGATCGTATAAGAAGTATATCAAATATATACTACTTATAGATATTTAGAAATGAATATTAGATCTAAATAAAAATAGATTTTGTAACAAGATGTACTTTTCGATGAAACTTCAATATCTTTGTTTAGAACAAATTATTAATGGACATGGTGAAAAGGTTATTCAAATAGTCAAAAGTTCAACAAGCTTCGAATTAAATTTATAACTATTTTTTCGAATTGTAAATATTCATTCTAGTATAAAAACATTTATAATTACAAAAAAATAAACTTTGATGAAGCCTTTAGTTACCTTAACATAATATAGATCTATTTATATTACCTAGATTTGACCTTGTTTAGTTAAATATATGCATTTTTATGGTTTATATGTTCGATCTGTGTCGTCTATCGGATGGACCTACAAATGTCAAAAACAGAAGTGAAACAATTTTCTCTTTCATATAAATTATGAATTAAATAAGCGCGTTAATAATAATATAGAATTATGTGTCTATTCAATAAATTTCCTATTCTATTTTTTCTTTTACCAACTATTTTTTGTCATATTAATAAGGTAGATTAAATTTTATTTATACAAATCAATAATTCATTCTTTTCTTTCCTACAGGATAATATAAAAAAACAGAATGATTCAATAAAACTATTCTTTTTCATATGTATTTCATTGATTATAATTGGTTTTGTAATTGGAACAGTTGTCCTAATTATAATTCTTCCATTTATTATTGATAATGATGATGATGATGATGAAGATGAAAGTCAAATGGATGAACAAGAATCAAAAATAGATTCTGATGATATATTTTTATTCACAGATGATGAAGAGGAAATATCTATATGATCTATTGATATTCAAACTTCATTAATTTTAAAATTTATTCATCAATTCAATATAAATTTATGAATTCAAGAACAAAGTTTTCCATCAAATAAAAACTTCTATTTTAATCGAGGACATAAACAACCGATGGACCTCAAGAATCTTATTTTCTTCAATTCATAAGTTACAAAACATATTTTCCTAGTAATCTATATGTCTCATGATTAACTAATTATATTTTTACTTAAGAATAGTCTCTAGTCAATTAGTTAATATGCACAAAATTATTTCCGATTGGAATCACGCAAGTCAATTATGTTCATTTTTGTTTACATATATGAAGCTTATTTTACCATACTAAATGGCGTTGGTTTTCTTTTGCTCATGTATACATCAAGAACACATATTTTATAATATAAAATAAGAATGAATCTAGCACATTTTTGTTAATATAAATAAATATTTAAATGTAACTCGTGAATAAGTAAATTTATTGTCTGTAGTCGTCTTGTCAAATTTAATATAGAATTTTTACAGACGTGTAAAAATAAAAGAATTCTTTTTTTCTCTCCTTATTTTCCATATGAAAAAAATGTTAAGACATTGACAACAATATTTATTCATCAATTAAATTATCACAATATTTCAATGAACGAATATTGATAAAAAGAAAACGTGATTAGAATACTAATACTGTACAAATTCTTTTATAATATGAATGATCAAATAAGTTCGAATTTAAAAGAAAAAGAAGAAGAAAACATTATATCTTAATAAAACATGCGTGAAAAAGGAAAGGGGATATCATTAAAAGTAATCTTTTTCTTTCTAATTAGTAGATAGAGATAGTCATCTTACTTTATTCACTACTCAATTCGAGCTATGTTAGAGTGGAAATCAAATTAAACCAATGGATTTAATTGAAAAAAAAATGAACTTAAGCACGAACAGATCTAAAGATTAGTTAGATGAAATTTCTATTAATAATTTTGTAATGTGAGAACTAGAGATATTTCATTTATCAGTATTGTTCATCGAATTTTTGTTTTTTGATTTATTAACAAAGAATCTTAAGGGATTCTATTAGAATAATCTTTTCATTTCATCATCATCAGGCAAGTTAAAGTAATTGTAATAGAATTCTTTTTTTTCTCGAATGTTTATGTATTAAAATACACAGTTACTGAATTAATAGGTGTATCCAGGAATTAAAGTAATATATATATTTCTTCAAAAAAAAAAAGAAAAAAAAAGGATGGCACGAAGTTGAACGTGCCAATTCTAATAACCGGCTGCATGTTATAAAAACGGGAGCAATGACAAACAAAGAAAATGTGGTGAGTAGCAAGTAGATAGACCAAGACAAGAAGAGAAGAAAGCAAAAGACGAGATTTCTCCTCTTGACATCTGCTTTTTCTTCTCTAGCGCTATTTTCTTCTATCAATGTCTATTTATATATGTTTCATCTGACTACTATGAGCTTCTTTCTTTAAAAATGTCAATCCATTTTGATGAAACACGCACATCTTATTACTATGTGTAGAAATTCTTGATATACTCATTAACTATTATTTTCTATCATATATGTAACTAAACTAAGAAATTCAGATCATTCATTTCAATGACATCGGATCTATCTGATGATTTAAATTCATTAAAACTTCAAGATAATCGAAGACGTACATCAGCTAATAATTCTTCTCGACGTAATCATGCAAGTGGTCAACAAAAACGTCCTAGTTTTCAATCAAAACGAGCAGCAACTATTGATCATGAAGGTCCTGAAGAAAAACTTCGAATTGTTGTACTTGGCGCTACAAAAGTCGGTTAGTATTTTATGAAAATTATTCTGATAAAAAAAAGAAAAGAAAACTAATACTTTATTTTCTCAATTAAAAGATTTATTTTCTGAGATCATTATTCATAACATAATCTTAAATAAACAGTTATAATGAACGCTTTTCTTTTTTCTAGGAAAAACATGTTTATGTCAACAATTTTTACAAGAAAAATTTGTAGCTGATCATAAAGAAACCGTTGATGAAATGTATAGTGCAGAAATAGCACTTGTTGATCGTCACATTATACTTGAAATATTGGACACAGCAGGCATCGATGAATTTCCTGTTATGAGACGACTTGCAATAGCCCGCGGTGATGCATTTCTTATTGTTTACGCTATTAATGATGCATCTTCATTTGATATTGCTCAACGAATGCGTCAATTAGTTTTTGAAATTAAAGGTGATTTAGTAACAAGTCCTATACCAATGCTTATTGTTGGAAATAAATGTGATCTTGATACTAATATACGTGAAATAAATCGAGATTATGCTGAAACTATTGTACGTGATCAATGGGCAACAAATCTTATTGAAACAACATGTCGTGAACGTGAATCAGTACTTAAAGCATTTCATCTTCTATTACATTTAGCTAATATCAATTTGACACTTAATTTTGATGTAGCACGTCGTTCATCTGATCCAAGTTTATCCTCAGATAAAGAACATCGTTCTACGAATAAACGACAAAGCTGTGCACAACAATAATTTGTATAAACACATTTCGTTTTCTTTTTATATAATCGAACATTTGGAAAAAATATGTCTCTCATATTTTCTATAAACATTTATTTTTAAAAATTTATACATATATATACCATTTATATGTAGGTCGAATAAACAATTTTTTTGACTCCCCTTTACAATATATAATTATCATTATAGATAACAATTAAATTTGAAAAAAGGTCGAAAAGACAATGTTCCTATGATAAATTATGACATGTCAGGATAAATATGTAGAAAAAAAAACATTTGACTTTATCAATGAATACAATGTCTATGTAGATAAATATCATAGTATTAAAAATAAGATTTATTAGAAAAGTCGAAGACCGTGAATAAATATGAAAAGTAAAGAGTAATAAAAATAAGTACTTTTAACAAGTGTTATGACTTTTCTTCGATATGTAGAATAAAGATTTAAGCTAATACTAAATAATATACAGTAAACTCCTCCGTTTTATGAACAATGTCAGGTCTGACGGAGCAATTTTTGCTGGAAATGCATCTGTTCACTATGGATACCTCGTTATGCTGAATAATGAACACTTTTTTTGATCCCGTCTAGTATTGTCACCTTTCTAACGTGAATATATATATGATGTTTTTTTTGACCTCTTTCTACTTTCTGTCATATGTTTTGATGAGCTGCCTAATTCGAATATAAATGAACATCCAACTTCCAGCAGTGTTCAGATTTCCGAGAAAGGTAAACTTCGGAAAATACTGACCATTTCCTCTAACATTTATTCTTTGTATATGTGACATATACCAAGAGTAAAAAAAGAAAATTTATAGAAATTACAAGAAAATTTCTAATTAATTTAGATATTTCCTTCTCATTTCCTATCCTACCTCTCCCTGACATATATATAATATCATGTATTATACTTCTGAAATTTACTCGAAATTTCCTAGTAATTTCCATACTTTCTTCTCATTTCCTACCCTACCTGTCCCTGATATATATATAATATTATGTATTATATTTATGAAATTTACTCGAAATTTCCATATTTTCGTGGCTCTTTATACAGTGTGGCTATAAGGTATGTGCATCTTATTTTACATTATATATGTGAAATTATCCTTAAATGTTTGAAATTTCTTAGTTAAGAAGAAGTCTTTTTAGTATGATGTTTATTAGCTGTCGGTAATGGACAATGAGAATTTTGAGAAATTGCGAAAGTTTGCTGTTAGTAGAAATCTAAACATACCTCCCGATGGTGTTCACATTAGGGAGGTTTCATTGTACTTGAAAATTTCTCATGAAATCTAACATCATCACAACACGATGACGTGTTTTTTTTAAATAGATTTAAGTTGTTGTTTACTTAAATGTCTGTAAAGAATGTCATTAAATATTTATTGTCTTTTGAGAATAGTATGTGATACATAAAACGTGTCATTTCTTCTTTCTTTTTTTTTTGTAACGATATCCTGTTGTTAAATAACTATACGAACTATGTTTCTTTTTCAATTTTTTTTCTTTTATTTTATCTTATCAAGATAAAATCTTATGTCACATAGTTATTTATTTATTTATTTTTTCATTATTTATCTTTGAAACGAAATAAATGTAACTTGAAATAACAATGAAAAAAATCTTATCAAAACTGAAACTATGTAATAAATGTCGGTAGTAATATCATATCAATGTAAGATGTGGTTTTTTCCAACATTCTCTTTATGTAATTATGATGGGGAAATAGTCCTTCTTACATACTGATAACTTGAATTTTATTAATATGAGTTTTAAGTATCCACTTAAAATTTGCATTATGTTATTTTATTATAAACTGTTAAAAAAACTAGAAGAAATAAGAATCTAAATGTAAAAAGAATTCGATATCTTTAGTATAAAAACATGTGCATATAACCATAATGATGACAAATATTCCTTTATCTAGTTTGTTTCGTAAACTGTCCTTCTAGTCTTTCTTTGACGACAAGAAGAAAAAGAGGCGAGGAGGTAAGTATGTTTATTTCTTCGAAATTATTTATCTAGAGAATCATTTTCATTTTTATATATTAACATTTTTTTTGTTTTCAATTTATTATTTCTAGTCATACGTACAGATATTTATATCGATATTAACATTAAAAATGCATCGTACATTACCAGGTTATTTTAATTGTTTCATACTAATATAAATAATATAATTTATTAAATTAAGATTCAGACGATCAAAATGATATACCATATGTTGCTCAACTACATAGAGCACAACCGACAGACGAATATAATACAAACAATCAAAAGAATTCACATTATAATACACCTCGAAGTATTTACGACCGTCGGAGTAATGTAAATCATCGTACAGATGTGAATCCACGAGCTGATGAACGTTCTGAAAATTTACGAGGACCCGTTTATTATCATAATGAAGGCAATCAAAATAGAACACAATTACAATATCGAGAAGTAACACAAAATGCAGCTGTTCGTGATAGTTTGAATGGTCGCTTTGACGCTCAAGAGCGAAGTGTTGTTACTCAAAATCAAGCAGTTGATCGACGAAATAATCCTGTTGCACAAGTACAACATGTCCCTACAACTAATAATACATCTAATACTGTTCGACATACAATTCCTGGTAGTAATGGACGTTCAATTATATTAGATATTAGTATATCAATAGGCTCTGGTGGTCGTGCTTCTCAAGCAAACGTTACTACAAATAATACTAGATCAATATCACCCATGCGTTCAACAGCACTATTTGATAACGTTCGTACTGTTGATTTAGATTTACGTGCACCAGAACATACTGCTAAAATTTCTACAGATGGTAATTTGCGTTTTTCATCATAGAAAACAAAACAACATCGATGATTTTTTTTTCAATAAACATCTATATATGTGTGTGTGTGCATTTATCATTGTATTCATGATTTTATTTATCGAAGAGAAAATAAATAAAACAGAGAGAACAGTTAATGAAGAAAAGAATTTGATCAGAAATTTAATTAGCATGTCTAGTCATCTTATACTTATCTGTTATGTAACACTATTCATAGTAAATCTAACGAATACATATAGAACCTGTTTTGATGAATCTAATCATCATATAAATTATCTTTTTCTTGATACAATGTCTCAAATAAAAATTCCATTAATACCAGCCGATTGTTTACTTTGTCAATCAGCATATGAAGTAAGTCTCTTTCTTTTTGAAATATAAGAAACAAAAAAACTTTTTAGGTTGACATACAACTTATTGATGAACAATTAATTGGTAATCGAACAATTCAACGTATAAAAATCTTTTTAAAAAATTTCGAAATTGAAGATTCATCTTATATATGTTTAATAAAAATTTGTCCAATTATAGTTGAATATGGAAATGATGGAATATTCTTAAATATAACATCAACATTATTTTCGCATGTTTTTCTTTCGTTAATCTATTTTAATCAGTCAATATTATGTTCAATTCAAACACGTTTTACTATTTTCTCCAATAAAACATCGTTATCATGTACAAATGAAATTTATCTCCATCCTCGTTTAAATAATTATATTTCGACACAATTAAAAATTTATAATTGCCGAGCTAATCTATTCTTTGAACAAAATATTTATCAAACGAGTATTAAATTTCAACATACGAATTTTTCAACATATAATCAAACAATATCAATAAAATCATTAGGACAAATATGTGAATATATATTAGATAGTACAAGTTATCTTGGTAATATATCAACAATAGAAATAAATGAATTATTAACTACAGTAACAATACTTCCATTTTATAATCCATGGAAAAAAGATATTCAAATATTAGGATCATGTGGAACGACATTTATTTCATATCAAGATATGTTTTTTACGAATGATATTGTTAATATTCGAAATATTAATGTAGAACAAGGACAAACTATTCAATTACATTGTAAGGATTATTTTTGTTGTTGTTTAAATTTTTTGTTAATTTATTTATTTAGGTCCAATTAATGGTTCTCACAAATATTTGAAATATACATGGTATTATCAACGATATCAACCGAAATATCAGATATCTAATAATCGAACAATTATATTACGTAATATCACCGAACAGATGCAAGGTTTGATACGAAATAAAAATTTCATATTCTCTTTTTTGTTCGTTTCAGGTAAATATATGTGTGTCGGTGATGATGGGAATGAATTATTAGAATTTGAAATGACATTACATGTATTTACGCATAATAAAACAAATAAGATTTCCTTTCATTTTATCATTATGTAAGCAACAAATCATTTTTCGTTTTTGATTAATATCAATTTCGTTTTCTTTTTCATTAGAACAATTCTGTTCATTATTCTTATTTTATTCTGTATTATAATAACTCTTATTATATATTATTTACTGAGAAAATCTTCTTCAATAGATTATTCAATAGAAAAACGAAATTCTTTAACAATACATCATGATGTTAGAGTTAAAATTCAACAATCATCTGGACAACAAATAGGAAATTCTTTATGGAATCAAGTACCATATCATACACTTGATTATATTGATGAACAACCAATATATCATATAGTATCAACTGATAATCCATCGAATCAGTTACCGCAAATACCATCATGGTCATGGATAAAACAACCTACTTCAGATAAAAAACAGATTCCACATCGATTTTCTATTCGTCACCGAAATATAAACGGACAATTACCAACACAATTAGCAGTTAATATTCCATCTAATAGTAATATGACCGTTTCATCTATAGTTAAATTTAATCAAATATCTGATCTTATCAATGGTAATATTACAGAACAATGTAATGATATGGAAATACTTAAAATATCAGTTCCATTATTGAATCATTATCCATTAGTAAAATCTACAAGTTCAATTATTTCATTTGATAGTCAAATTGAACTTGAAGAATTCAATAAAATGACGACTGTTTGCATGGATACTGAATTATAATTAGTGAATAGCCAATCACAAGGCAATATATTGAATTGTCAGATATTTAATCTAATAGAAAAAAAATCAAATATTAATGTTGACAAACGAGATTTGACGCATTAAAAAACTTGAGGATGTGCTAATGTAGTAAATTTCTAAAATAAAATGTAGAAAAACTGTTATCATTGAATGAATGATACGAAATAAATAAAATATTTTAATAATAATTCTAAACAAAGAAGATTACATCATATTATAAGTAAAAAGAGAATATGAGAAATTCAAAGATTCTTACGGACGAACAAATACGTGATGTATAGAATAGACAATACACAGAAAGAAAAGAGAAGAAAGATGTATACACGTTTTTAGAATGCTCTCTAAGTACGTCATCATTTTATTTTTTCCTTTGTCAAGATATAGATATGAGCGAAAATATTATATAAAACTCACATCTACTATTAAGAAGAAAAAAAAAGTTTTTTTTAACGATAATGAATATTTCCTTACTCGTTTTAGTCTATCTATAAAATAAAAAATCCAAAGTAAATTTTATTGATCTATGATAAAGAGTTCGAACAGTAAAAGTTTATGTTTAATCACTTAATCCTTCTCATATTTGTCTTCTCTTCACCTTTTTATAGATTTCAATATAATCTTGTTTAAATACATTCATTTCTACTAGAAATTCAACTTTGAGAATTATGTTATTTAATAAAATTTATTTCTTCTTATTAATAATAACTATCAATGGAATTCATTTATATAAAGAAGAAATTATTCGAGCACATCATACATATGATAAATATCAATTTAATATTCTTCATCATTTATCGGGGATCGCTCCTTATTTTGAATCCAATACTGATGAATTAAATCCTGATCCACCTGAAGGTTGTAAAGTAGATAAAACCGCTTATTTAATTCGTCATGGATCAGTTTATGTTGATGATTATGATTATGATTATATAATAAATCCATTTTTAAAACGTTTAAATAAAGCAGTAAAATATGTCGATTTTAGTAAATTACCCAAATTATCTTTTTTAAATAAATGGACATCACCAATAACAAATCCGAAGCAACAAATTGAACGATTAACAAAATCGGGTATATTTGAAGCATTAGAATTAGGTATGAAACTTTCATATCGTTATGAAAAACTTTTACCGAAAGCAAATCAAACATCATTTAACATTTGGACATCATCATCCAAACGAACTAAACAAAGTGCATTAGCAATAATTCAAGGTCTTTTTAGTGGAAGAAAATTAAATGGAAAAGTTATTGATATTCCCGAAGATAAAAAACGTGGTGCAAATACTTTAACACCAACAAAATCTTGTCAAAAATATAATGCATCAAAAGGTTCACAAGAAGCAAATATATGGTTACAGCATTATTCAAAATCAATCTTAAAAAAATTTAATTCAAAAATTTTTAATTGGAATTTTATACCAAATGATATATTAGCTATGCAACAATTATGTGGATATGAAACAGTTATACGTGGATATTCGCCATTTTGTAGTTTATTTACAACAGAAGAATGGATGTCATTTGAATATTATTTTGATATTAAATATTATCATGAAATTTTCTATGGAAATTATTTATCACCGTATTTAGGTATGCCATGGGTTAAAGCTACGACTGATCTTCTTTCGAATGATATATTGAATAATCAAAATATGTATTTAACTGTTACTCATCGAGAGATGCTTCCAGTTATTTTAGCTGCATTAGGTTTATATAATGAATCAGAATATTCAAATGAAAAAGTATTTCCACTCGATGAAATAAATCATGAACGTATTTGGAGAGCAAGTAAAGTCATTCCGTTTTTAGGTCGAGTTGCATTAGAAAGACTTAATTGTTCTTCGTCTCATTCGAATGAATTATTTATAAGAATATTAGTAAATTCATCAGTCAAACCAATACCAGGATGTACTCAAGGACCGGGTGAATCGTGTCATTTAAATCAATTTATTAACTATATTAATAAACGTTATCATTCATATAAAGATTTCACTGAAGTTTGTCAAATAAAAAAAACGAATCATTCAATTGATCATTTAACTTTTTATAATAAAAAACATTAGAGAAATATTATTTAAAAATTGTTTTTTATTTTATTATATAAGCATAAATAAAAGAATAGCTTCATTATCTTCTTCATCGCTTTTTTTATCAATCATATTGATTCCTCAGACTTTATGAAGGACGAAAGTAAAAACAAACAAATCTATGAAACAATAATTTTTGTGTCAAGTCACTTTTCAAATCTAGTATCAGCATGGTCGATAATCTTTAACTCACTGTGTTCTATATAGTGATTTAACCAGCGGGGGGGGGGGGGGGGCTTTTTGCCCTCTCGGAGGGTGCCCCTGTCCCCCCCCCTCCCAGAAGGGAGATTTTTACCCTCTCGGCAGTTAATTTCGCACCCTCGGACGAAAAAAGCTAGATAAAACACTGGTTCTATAGGAAAGAGATAGAATATGAATTATCGTAAGTATGAAAAATTGTTTTTTGCAAGAGAGAATTGTTGATCTAATCAAATATTATTATAAGTTAATTATTTGAATAAATCTAATGACGAACAAAAAAAATTCAATCAAATTTCCCGAAATCATCAACTGATTTTGAATTCTTTATGTTTTTTTGTTTAAAATGAATACTAATATGATATACATCGTATATGAAAATCGATAGTAACTGTTACTATCTTTACCACATAATATCTGTTTAGAATACTAATACGACTCAATCACGTGTTTACAATACGAGGAAAAAGAAAACAAAATTTATTTCGATTTTTCACATTCACATATTTTCCTCTATTTATTGTCTATTCATACATATCTATATATATGTGCGTGTCCAGGTCGAATCCGTCGACGGAAAAGTGCTTTTCTCTTCTCTTTCTTCTGTCTATCTATCTATATATTTTATCATTTATTTTCGTTCTTTAAACAGAGCACAGAATAAATAACGTAACGTTTAATCGTATTTAATTCATTCAGTATCAATCACACATATAATGGAACATCATCAACGTTTATTATGTTCGTCATCATCAGCGTATTCACCTCGACAAGATTGGCATCAACATCCAACATATTTTCCTCCATCACCACCTACAACAAATCATCATCAGCATTATCGTAATAATAATTCTTGGATTCGACCATCATCGTAAGTATATTTATTTTACTTCTCAACAATTTTTCTTTCTTTTTTTTCATTTGATTGGTTCATTCAATTGAATAGAGAAAGAGAAAATAAAAGGCTTCAAGTTTGTATTATAAAGGAGAGAATTTCTTTTTTACATTTCATTTTTAACATAAACAATCTTTTCATAACGCTTCCTTATCATAAAACAAATATAGAACTTACATCACATACATACACGACAAAGTATTTCGTTTTTCTTTCTCATTTTCTTCTATTCTTAAGATCAACATTAACAAAAGTCACTCCGAATAGTGACGATAATTCAAATTATTATCATTCTTGGTTACATACTTTACAAACACCATCATCACCTGTTCTAAATTCAACTAATCGTCAACGTTATACACCAAGATTTGCATCTATTAAATCTCATTCACCAAATTATTATCCATTAATGCAAGCCAATTTACAAAAAGATACAACATTGACAAAAATATTTGTCGGAGGTTATTTAAAGACAAAAAAAAAATTAAATTCCATTATAAATATTGTTTTTTAGGTTTACCTTATCATACAACTGATGAAACATTACGAGCATTTTTTTCAAAATTTGGTGATATTGAAGAAGCTGTTGTTATCAATGATCGTAGTACAGGAAAATCACGTGGATATGGATTTGTAACAATGGTACGAAAAGAGGATGCAGACGAAGCTGTTAAAGATGGAAATCCAACTATTGATGGACGTCGTGCTAATGTTAATTTAGCTTATATGGGTGCAAAAAATCGTGCAACAACAGTACCACGTAAATTAATAAAAATATTACTTTTTGAATTTCTAATATCTTTTTTTTATTATCTTTCTAGTTGGTTACAGTTTAGTGGCTCGCATGCCTACGTATCAATCAACAGCAACTGCTTATCCGTATGTCATTTTAGATTTAGATTCTTTTTCGTTTTATTAATGAGATTGTTCTGTTTGAGATTGAAGCCATTTGTTTGTTTTTAAACTCAATTATATATATAACTATGATCATATAGGTTTCAGATCGTCCTTGTTTTTTTGATTGAAACGAAATTAAAGTAAAGAGTGAAAGCATTTTATGCCTATGGCATTTATATGAATAGAACCTAATGTATATAATCGACGAGAGGTGAAAGTTGGATAAACAATTACCACTTTCTTCCTTTTTACTTCTTCAAATTCGAAAAGAAATTAATGGGACAATGAAGAGCGGCATTCTTTTCTTCCTATCTTTCTCTCTTTCTCTAGGCTAATGCAAAAAGCTGCCAACGGATGAACAGCAAAGTGAATTAAATGAAAAAAGGTGCTTTTGGGTGTTTTTTTTTCGCGTGCTCTGACCGTGTTTTTATTTTTGTTTTGCCCGTTTGCATTTTGTTTGCCGTGTGTATATATACATATCTATAAAATCCAACAGAATGTGTAACGATTTATTTCTGATTCTCATTTCCCTCGAAAACATAAAAAAAAACAAACACAGATAAAAATGAAATGATCATGATAAAAAGCTCTTTT